CACCCCTCTAGTATAGATAAAAAGGTTGATATAATTTAAGACAAAATCAATAATTAATTTTTGTATAAATTTGATAATATCACGATAGCATTCATTTATGTGAAGAACTTGATTTATTTCAAATTATGTGCATATTTGGTCTTTGGTTTAGTATTTGAATGAGGGGAACAATTGTTCTCTTAGGTATCTGAATGCTTAGTTTTAGGATTTAGCCTTTAAATGTAAGAAAGACTCACCTCATTCTCTTTTGCAAAAACCTTCCCTTTCGTCATTGGAGCTTTCTTTCCGGCAAAAATAAGCAAGAAAGGTGGCAGAGAACCGAGTTCAGAAATCCTTGTTCTCTTTTGCCAAGGCAATTACGCATATAGTTGAGTGGACAATCGAGTGCAGCATCAAAGGTGAGAGATCAAAAGTGCATTGTTGAGTAGACAATCGATATTTTATTGTAACGAATAATTTAATTTTTTCACAATTTTTTTGCAAGTTTGATCGTGCCTCCTAATTCAAAATGACCACTTTCGCCATTGTTTATAATAAATGGGTATAAGTTATGAATGTGAGAAAAAAATATGGCTGAGTAATTCAAATGATAATTTTAAGTTTCTCCAAATGACGAATGTGTTTCACTCCTGCTTTTGTTACCATTTAAATTTGATGTTTTGTTTACCGATTAGAGTTTTAGAATGTTTTAATTTGCGTTTTCGTGTTTTTTTATAGGTTGGATGAATTGGTGAAAAAGGAGTTTGAAGCAACCAAATAGGGATTTGACGTGAATCAAGGAGAATATGACTTGTAAATAGGTGAAGAATACTAGGAGAAAGATAAAGTTGCCAGAAAGAAAAAAAAATTTAGCAACAAGAGCATCGCACGAGCGCTATGCATTCAATGTTCAGGCTTCACTCAATTGCCAAAGAAACAGAGTATTGATGCAGAAACGGGCTGCCCAGGCGCTATAGTCCTAGCACCAAGGCGCCAAGTAGTATACCACGACGATGCCGTTACGCAAGAGCTCCGGTGTTGCGCCATAGTCCTAGGGGTTATTTATGGATCCCAAAAGTCCAAAACAATGCCAATTTGTCTAAAATTTGAAGAAGACATCAATACAACTTGAGAGACATTTTTCAACAACACTTCGAAGTTGAGCGAAAGGAACGACAAGAAGAAGATTGACACAAACTTTGAAAACAAATTTTATCTCTTTATGTTATTAATCACGAATTTGAGATTTTCTTGTTCTTTCATCATCCATCATGAACTAAATCTATTATATAGGGTTTGATGTAATCTAAACTTGAGATTATGTTTAGAGTTTCAATAATTATTTCTTTGAAGTTTTCTTTTAAGTTTATTTGTGTTATTTATACTTATTGCTTTCCATTAATAGACCATTAATTGATTGATTTGATGTTTAAGATTCGACACTCGAGTGAAGAAAATTTGAATTGATCATAGAATAACACAGCCTAGGTATTCTATGTTTCAAGAGAAAGTATAAATCTTTTGAAATGTTTCTACAAAGAACCATATAAATTATGAATTCTTAGATTTTTTATTCGGCATAGAGATACTGGAACTCAAGAGTAATTTTCACTTAGAACTCAAGAGAGGGGAGTTGAAATATATTAGGGTCACCTATAAGCTTGGAAAATCAATTGGAAATGATTAGAGAATTGAAAAACATGATTGATGGATAGATGAAATCAAAACCTAGACTCATCTCTCTCATATTACTTAATCTTTAAAACTTTAGGCCCGTTTGGTAGGGATTTTGAGAATTGATTTTTTGACCGTTAGAAGAAAAGTGAGGTCCACATGTGAGAGAAGAAGTCAAAAATTACGGTTTGAATAGTAAAATAACGGTTAAAAAATCAATTTTTTTGGGCAAAAAATCCCTACCAAACGGGGCTTTTGTGAAAAAGCAATAGTTCAACACAACCAACACCTAGAGGGGGAGTGAATAAATGTTCATGCGGAATTAAAACAATTATCACATCAATTATGCATTGCCTAAATTTATTCACATACTTTATCTACCTAAGTTGAATTACCGATTGAAAAATAAATAACAGAAAACAGTAAAAACACAACAAAATGTTGACGGAGAAAACCCAACTGGGTAAAAACTCCGGGCACAAGCCAATAGAGATCCACTATAGAAGCTATTGACTTACAGTACGTCAGACATTATTGATTCTAACAATATTCTGACCTCCTTACTGTATCGACCGCAGCTATCCTGGATTTTGCAGATCTGTGCCAAAATCCCAGCTTTGAATATCTTCTACCTCCTGTGAATCACCAAGCACTCCAGCTCTTCAAGCAATTTCCTTCCCGGATCTTCAAACAGATGATCTTCTGGAAGTTTATATGGAGATATGAAAGGGTGTTTTGATTTTGTGAGGGTTGATGTTTTTATTCAAAGAACCATGAGAATCAAAGATAAAAAGAATGAATTTATTTTGGCTCTTGATCCTTTGGAAGTTGAGAGAAATTGTTGTTTTGATGTTTTCCAAAGGTTTCAAATGAAAATCGGTCGTTCTGTTTATATAGTAGGTCAAATTTGGTAATATAGAGCGTTAAAAATTCGCGAGGCATTAAAATTACCAAAGGCCAGATAACACAGTCGCTCGAGCTAGGTCCTGACGAAACTCGAGCGACGTACCTTCGATCAGGCGATAGACCAGCGAAACTCCAGCGAGGTCAGTTCTGCAATTTTTGCTCTAGCAAGGTCAGGGCGAAACTCCAGCGACATCAACGCGCCGTTTGCATCTTCAAAGCATCCTACTTTACCCTAGACCTATGCTATGACTTTTACAAAATTGCAACTTTAGTCCCTGAACTATTTGACCTGTACAATTTAGTCCTTGACTTTATAATTTTGACAAATAGGTCCTTTGGTCACAGATTGCTAATTACACATTTTCCTAACACTTTGCATTCAAGTTAGATTTAGTTAAAAATAGTGATTTTATTAATTTGATTGTCTAGATAAAATAAGTGCAATTTTCATTGTAGTACTTGGTAGAATTTTGATTTTCAATCTTGTGGATTCAGCTTCTTAACTTATCGTTATATTATAAACTTGGCACGTATACTTACAGTATAGTTTGTACCTAACACCATACATGTTCTAAATGTAATTTTGTCCTGCCAAACTTTAAAAGTGAATTTCTGAATCCCAATTTATATTAAGAGCATCTCCAACAAATTTCTTTAAAAAGTGAAAATATTCTTTATTTTAAAGAGTTAACCCTTAATATTATGCTTCAAAAAGTTCTTCAAATTAACATTATTATAATAAAGATAGCGCTTGACTCTCCAAATTTTAAGAGACACACACTTTGTAATGCTCTATATGTTGACCCAACCAAATACTGTATACAAAGAAAATAAAGAGAAATAAGATAATAAGTTGGAAGGATGTTTTTGAAAATAAAAGATAGAAAAAATAATAAACACATATTGAACGTAATGAAATTAAGTGATAAAGATAAATAGGCTGTTAAAGTATTTAAATTTATTTACTCTCTAAATTTATAAATGCTCTTCAAATTATAAAATATCATTTCTAAAAGAAGAGAATTTCTTGGATATATTCTTAATCTTCAAGGATGCATTTAATTGCGAATACAAAATTTGCATGAAAAGAAAATATGTTTAATTAATTTAGTTTTGAATCTAAAAAATATTATACTTGTTTATTTATTTTTTGGTGATTAGATAAGAGATTGGAGTTAGATAAGAAATAGATAAAAAGAGTGAATTATTTGAAAAATAAAAAGCACCTTGATTAAAAAAAATATTTTCCTTATTTTTGAGAAAAATATGATTACACGATCAAAAGTTAAAGAATATTTTTCATGAAGAAAATTGTCAATCAAGCACATCAAAAGTAAGAGTATGAATAAAAATAATATTTTTCATAAAAAATTAAAGTCAATCAAATATAATTTAAATAGAAATTTAAATTCTCACACGACAAAACCATCCATTTTAAAATTCCAGCCGAATACATTTTTCGTTCTCTTTTCCCTTTTGCCTGCTCTTCTGTTTGGTTTACGATTTTTGATGTTGATCCTTTCCCTACCCAACAAAATTTTTAAAGGCCAAATACAAAGCAAGTTGGAAGGGCATTATAGACATTTCAATTTACTGAATTTCTTGTGCCCATTGCCATTACGCGTTTCGAAAACTGAACACATTTTTCGTTCTCTTTTCCCTTTTGCTCGCTCTTCTGTATATTTTACAATTTTTGATGTTGACCCCTTTCCTACCCACCCAAAATTTTAATGGACATTTACAAAGCAAGTTGGAAGGGCATTATAGACATTTCAATTTATAGAATTTCTTGTGCCCATTGCCATTATGCGTTTCAAAACACTTTACTACGTATACATCGAGACTTACATAATATTTGGGAACATCGTATCATTGAATAGTTCAAAATACAATTAGAGCATGTTTGTTTCTCATTTTCATAGTAAAAATGTATTTTGTAATATTGATTGTTGAAAAATGTGTGATTAAAAAATAAGGAAAAGTTTTAATTTTGCGTGTAATATTATTTTATTGAAGAGTGTATGGTTGAAAATAAGAGAGAGAAAAATGTATTTTGGGAAAAATGAGTACCAAACAAGGGCTTAATTTTTCATTCAGCCCTATTTATTTTTCATTATTTACTCATTAAGTCCCTGTTTGATGCCCATTACCTGAAAATGAAAATGGGGGGAAATAGTATCTTTTAGAAAAATGAATGGTTAAAAAAGAAAAAAAAAATTTCGATTTACGTGTAATATTATTTTATAGAAGATTGTGTGGTTAAAAATATGAGAGAAAAACATGAAATATAATGTAATTTAATTTAATGGGGATCAAACAGGGACTAAAATAAAAAATATTTCCGTTATTCATTACATCAAACTACCATATTTGAAAATCTATTTCCTGTGTGAGACTATTTTTTTTATTCTTATTTTTACATTAGCGTGGCTCAAGCGAAGTCATTTCCCTTTTATCTCATCTTCTATTATGTACAAATAGGCCTCCAACAAAATCACAAATTAATATAGCCACAAATTCCTCATTTTCATTTCATCGACTCCACCTTTGCACGCACACACAACCGAGCCTTCATCTCTCTGTCGAAGAAAAGGTGAGGCAAATATGGCGCAAAAGAGGGAGAAAGAAGAAACGGAACTCAAAGTCCCCGAAAACTTGCCAATATGCACCCCGCCGCCGATTTTAGGCACCGACAACGAGAAGCAAACGGCATCGTTTACCAATTCCTCGAGGTCGATGGAGAGTTCAGATCCGAAACTTCCCAGCGACGATGATTCGAGAACCAGCTCAGCAACATCGCTGGAGAGAACCGATCTGGAATCTGTTGCACAAAAAGTAGTTAAAGAAGTGGAGAATCGTGTAGGATTAAAGAGATCCAGAGAAGTAACCCGGTGTTCCGGATCCGGGTGCAGGAAGAAAATTGGATTAATCGGATTTCGATGCCGATGTGGAGAAGTTTTCTGTTCGGAGCACAGATATTCCGATCGTCACGATTGTAGCTACGATTACAAATCTGCTGGCCGGGAAGCCATAGCCAGGGAAAATCCGGTGGTTAGAGCCGCGAAAATCCTGAAGGTTTGAAGGAAAAAAGGTGCTTAAAAGTTACTTCTCCATAAGTTCACTTAAAAGTTACTTTTCTATAAGTAACTTTAGCCAGACATGCTGATCCTTCTTGGATTCTCTGATAATATGCCTCGCTGTATTGAGAAATGTTGAGGGAGGTGTGACATGGAATTATTGGAAAAAGGTGAGGGTATTGTTGTCATTTGAATTATTGTGATGATTGTAGTGAAAGTTGTTATAATTAATTTTTTGTAATATTTTAAGGTGATGGTGGATTGAATAATTTATTTGTGGTCAGTATGGGGACACTTACCATCATTTGGGTTGTTGGGAACTTTAGTGGATGCAATTTGGAGTCGGCTACAGGTTGGATTATTCGGAATTGCTTACCTAAATGACGGCTCCTTTTCCTATGATATCAAATATAAAAAAAAGACTATGCTACGCAAATATAAGAATAATGCTATTTGCAGTGAAAATTATCGACAATCGTCCTATGTGACGTATATTTGACAGTTTTTTATTTGATGTATAATTTAAAAAATAACTACCATGTTTATGTATCAAATAACAAATTGTCAAGTATATGCCACATAAAGTGATTATTGGCAGTTTTCACTACGAATAGCATTACTCCAAATATAATGATTGACATGCAAATGAAGGAATACTCACATCTCGAGGTTCGGGCATTATTTTATTCACGCGGAGTCCACGCTCCATGTGAGGGTTGGTCATCCATTCGGTCACCAAAATTCGGGCACTTCGACACTTTTCAAAAAAAAAAAAAAAAGAATATTTTGATGCTATTCGCGTTCACGATTTTTATATATACATCGAATTCTAAAAAATAATTATATTATATTTTTACTCTTATATAAATTTACCTAAACAGATACATATAAAATTAAATAAAAATATATAGTTCTAAAGTGTTCAACTCATATTTATTTTTATTAAATTCTTTTAAACCTTTTTATATCCTTTTAGAATTTTTGTTTAACTAAAAGTTTAAAAATAATAAGATATCATTTTCCACCAAAATTATAAAAGTCTAATAGTCATCAAATATCATCTTCAACTGAAATCAAAATAATAATGGAAGAGATACCATTAGAGGATTTTTATTTTACAAAAAAGATGAAAGCTGTGATTTGATTCTAGATTTACTTCGTAGCTTATTCGACAGCCACAACAAATAATAAAAATCTTATTTTTTTGAAAAGATATTCTACTTTAGGTTTTTAAATTAATTTAGGGCATTATGTTCAACCAAAAAATTGCCTTTTCAGGACGTGCGAGCATAAATTCTAAGTATCAGTTGATGGAAATAATATATTCAATCCTTCTTGAGCACAACAATTGAACCCTTCTGTATTTTTTGCAGATCTTCTCATTCTAGGATTATACTTTAATGCAAGAGGCCGTTTGATTGTAAAGATGAAATTGAATATAAAACGAATTTTAGGAAATTGAATTGTCTATAAATTATTTTCTTGGGAATTGTAAATTATTCTATTTGATTGGTATAATTTTTCACGTGAAAAATGTTGAAATAAAAGTATTTTTTGATATTCGTTTAGTTTTGTTTTACATGAAAATTGTCAATTAAAGAATAGAATTTACTGATATTGGGAATGAAATTTGTCTCCATTGCCAACAAAAAATTTTTTTAAAAATCAAGAAAATCATCTATCTTTTGGTGTTCGTTTGTCTTTGTTTTATATGAAAATTGTCAGTTAAATGGAATTTTTTTTTTACAATAATTCTTAGAATTTATTTTCATTGCCACAAAAAAAAAAAAAAAACGTAAAAGTAGGTTGGAAAAGAATTGGTTTTCAAGGAAAACCAAGAAAAGAACAATTTCCAAGACAATCAAGAAAATAAAATTTTATGGAAAAAGTGTGCTATCAAACATCACAATTTGGGTGGAAAATGAAATTTGAATTCCATTTTTCATGGAATTGGCCCCTATCAAACACGCCCTAAGTGTACAATAATAAGTCCATTGCAGCCTAAAACAAGGTGGAAAAATCTTTACATTACCTTATGTAGAATCCCGAATTTTTAACTTAAATTCGCATATATTTTTATTTGCCATTTAATAGGAATGCAATGTTTGGTTAAATTCTTATGCAAGTTAATTGATTATCTCTATAGTTATCTTATTAGTTGAGGGACCAAATTGAAAGGAAAAAAATATCAAATTATTTTATACTTTATTAAATGGGCCAAATAGTTAACTATTGAAGGAGTTAGAGTTACTCTACCAATATTGGGTTCATTTTGAAGCTCATAATAAATGGCGAATTATGGACTCAAGAAAAATTTAATTTGGTCAAGTTAAACCCGAGTTTTAGCCGTCTAAAGAATATTATGGTTATAAGAGTTTTAAAGGATTATATTTTTCGCCAGTTGACTGCCACCACTAGTTTAGCTAAATAAATTAGAATTTTAAGTTTTGGTTAAACAAAGTCTTTATATTAAGTATTAATAATTATACATTTTTAATTAAGAGGTAATCAATTAAAACGTAATTCCTGCTTACAAATTTAGTTAAATGCAAATCAAAAGAATTTGAATTATTTGATGTTAGACTTTAGTACATGAGTAACCCATGCATTTCATTATAACTTTCACGTGTCCATATAATTAGTAATCATTGTGTCCCCTAATTGGGAAGATTGGAATGAAATTTTGGGAAGATTGAACTGAAATTCTAATTTAATTAATAAGCATACATTTTATAATTTTCGACCATTAAGAGATTGACAATTTAAGATGTTTGTATTATAGTAAATTATGCAAATAGGAGGCAGATTTGTTTCCCCGTCCATGTGTAAAAGTCATGCAGTGTAATGCCTATCATTTCCTTGGTGTAATTGTAATTGATATAGAAATTGGCAGAAAATCAATAATTAATCTCCAGTCATACTATATCAATCGAGAATTATGAATCAATTTCTCAGAAGATTGCATGAAATACGAATTTAAATATGGCTGAAATTCCACTTCCCCCCACATGATTACCCGACTTCAACAGTATAAATAGAGCACTAAAATCACATTCTACTACACGTCCATTACCTCTCCCTCTTTAAAATATTCCTCTATATTATTTAGATTTTTTAAGGCTTTGGAATTGCACTCACATTTCTGCAATTTTATTCTTCACTTTCATCTTCAAAAGATGAGATACTCAGTGCTATTAGTGGTTTTTCCACATCTTTTCAAATACGTTATTATGAATTTAATTACTTCAATTCAGGCTCCTTCGGGAGAAATCATGATACATTTTAAGGCACAATTTAGCCTTTACGTTATTTTGCAGCGCTTGCTAGAATTATCATTTGTCATGGTGTGATAATTCTCATGTTATGTTGGTAAGATAATTCATTTGTAATTTCATGTTTGACTTGAATGTGGAGTAGCAAGTATCTCATTGAGTATAATTCGTTATACTCATCCCCTTATTTACAATTTTCAGATAATAATTAGTATGCTGGACGGCGGTGGATGGATTTGCTATTGGACCAACGGATCCTCGTCATGAAGTATTTTAATTTTCAAAAACACTAGAACTAATAATGAGTTATTCATTTTTGACCCAATTGTGAGTGCATTATAAATTTTCAATTAGTTTTAACTGTTCTAATAATTTTTGGATGAATGATATGTTTTCAAACGTTCCGCATATTTAAATTTATCTTTTGATTAAATGTTATTCAATCTTTTACAGAATTTCTCGTTATATTAAAACTGTTTATTTCAAGGTATATTCATGTTTCGTAACGTTTCGGGTTATTAGAATTCGGGGCGTTATAGAATGGTATCAGACCTAAGTGTTCTAAAATCGATCCTGCAGACTTAAAAGTTTCAAAAAAAAAATGTTGTTTTATGTAAATAGTTTCGAATGAATGAAATATTTTTCGCTGCCTAGATATTGTAAGGTTTACTTCTTCCAATTTCCACGTTGAGATTATATATATTTTTAAAAATAATAATAATGATAAAATAATATTGTGAACAGTGACCTCCATCCAAATTGTGTCACTATTATTTTGGTTTTATTTGGTGCGGTGCAGTGACCATCACTACTCTCGTTTATAAAAAAAAAAAAAAATAAATAAAAGGTAAGTCACTGTTCACGGATGAACAGTGACGCGGGAATAGTGAAGTTAAATGGGATTTTGTGAAATTTTGTTTAACGTAATATAAAATGGGGTTATGTGCCTATAGTTGTCCAAACGTGTTTATTTGTTTATTCTTGGACATGATTATTTGTTTACTCATTTACTATAATTTATTTTGGATAAGGATTTATTTACTATAATGAAATGTCACACACCATATTTCTGCCTTCTTTCTTCGATTGAAATTAAAATAAATGTAGAATAGGATTGTTTGGACTTTTTATGTGTAAATTTATGAAATGACCACATGATTGACTATACCTTCGTATTGTTGTTATTAACAATTTTTTTCAAAAAAAAAAAGGGGCTATACGTATTTAATCTTTTAGGGGGAATTCATTGTTCAAGTTTTCTTGATTTGCGTATTCGTAAAACTAAAAGGTTTTGTCAAAAAGATCTAAACTGTCTAAGGCGAGCTTGGGATTTAAGCGGTCCATGTGACCCCCCTCCTCACCTGGAAGCCTCTTTAGTTGCGCGTTATTCAAATCGATAAGACGAAAACAATGTTTTAAACCCACTTCAAATTTTATGAAAATCCTTTCATTTTAGAATTTAAAAAAAAAAATCCATTTTACAAAATTTATATACATAACAATAATAAGTTACGAGATCCGTGGAATCCAATGTTCATCAATCTGCCACTGTTCAATATTTTTAAGGTATGCAAAGATGAAGAATATTTTTATATTTTCATGCATGCTAATTAGTTGTATAATCTCATGAGCTTTTCCTTATGCATCATTTTATTCAAAAGTAGAATGTCAATTAATCATATCATACGATTAATGATACGATTATCATATGACTAAAACCTTAATGCGTAACTTTTGGCCTTAACATAATATAAACGACAGACATGGTTTAGAAAGATCTATAGGAAGAATGTAGCATGGTTGAATAGTTCTTAAGATAGATTACTTTTTACTTAAAGGAAATGACACGACATCAACAAAATCAAGCTACTATGTTCAGAAATTTATTGAGGGCAGTGCAAGACTTGGCAGGCAGCAGGCTCAGGCGGCACCTAGTAATGCAACAGGAGGTGCTAACACCGTGAGCTCGATCGTTGAGCAGTTTCGTCGTTTTAAACCCCCGTCCTTTGATGGTAAAGGTGACCCTTTCGCAGCTGAGGAGTGGCTGAGAAGACTTGAAGGGATCTTCGAGCACATGAACTGTAGTGACGCTCAAAAGGTTTCATGTGCAAAGTTCATGTTGACTAGCGATGCTGGACATTGGTGGGATTCCGAAACACGTACTAAAACTGTAGAGCAACTATGTAATCTCACTTGGGGTCAATTCAAGGAGTCGTTGATGGGTAAATATTTTCCCCAGCCATTGAGGGATCAAAAGGAGGTAGAATTTCTCCAACTCACGCAAGGAAATTTGCCACTTGGGGAGTATGAAAGAAAATTTGAACAGCTTTCTAGATATGCTCCACACATGGTAAACACTGAGTTGACGAAGACTAAAAGGTTTAAAATGGGGTTAAAACCAGAGATTAAGGGAATCATGGCAGCCCAGCAACATACTACTTATGCGAAAGTTGTACGTCGAGCACAAGCAATTTCTAATGGTTTAGGATTGGAAAAGAAACCTCAACCCAACACCGAGACTTCTGTAAAGAGAAAGTGGCAAGGTCACGACAAAGACAGGAATCAGAATCAGAAAGTAAAGATTTTGTCAAACTCAAACAAAACTTTTCCTCAATGCTCCAAATGCAACAAACGACACTTGGGAGAATGTCTTCAAGGAAAGGAATTATGCTACATTTGTGGTAAAAGTGGCCATTTCCTTAGAGAATGTCCAGAGAAGAAGAAAGAAGATGACCATCTTAAGAAGGGAAAGGCCAGAGTATTTGCTTTGATGGGAGAAAATGAGGATTAGAACACAGACGTAATAACAGGTATGTTACCAGTATTCGACATACCTGCTATTGTTCTTATGGATTCTGGATCGACTCATTCATTTATTTCTACAATTTTTATGGATAAGATTGGAAGTAAATGCGTAGAAACAAATAACATTCTAGAAGTTAGTACACCCTCGGGCGAAGTCATTAATACAATGATTAAAGGTGTTAAGTTAGAGATTGAAGGAAAAGTACTAAAGGCAAATTTGTACATCTTGGGAATGAAAGACTTTGATGTAATTTTGGGTATGGACTGGTTGGGTAGAAACTATGCAACTATCGTATGCCATAAGAATGAAGTCTTATTTCAAAAACCCGGAGAAGAAAAATTTCGATTCCTTGGAGCAAGAATTAGGACTCTACCCCAATTGATATCTGCAATGAAAGCAGAAAAGACGTTGAGGAAGAATACGTGTCGAGGATTTTTATTGAATATAAATAGTAAACCCCAGTTCGAAAGGAAAATAGAAGATGTACCTGTAGTAAATGAGTTCGTGGATGTTTTTCCTGAAGATCTACCTGGTATACCGCCTGATAGGCAAGTAGAGTTCACAATTGACTTGACTCCTGGGGCAACACCAATATCTAAGGCTCCTCATAGAATGGCACCAAAAGAATTACAGGAGTTGAAGGTACAACTACAAGAATTATTGGATAAGGGTTTCATCCGACCTAGTGTATCCCTATGGGGAGCGCCGGTATTGTTTGTTAAAAGGAAAGATGGGTCAATGAGGATGTGTATTGATTATAGAGATATTAATCATTTGACTATAAAGAACAAATATCCGCTCCCAAGGATATATGATCTTTTTGATCAATTGAAGGGTACAACGGTGTTCTCAAAAATAGATTTGAGATCAGGTTATCACCAACTTAAGATAAAGGATTGTGACATCCCAAAAACAGCTTTTAGAACGCGGTACGGGCACCATGAGTTCACAGTCATGCCATTTGGGTTAACCAATGCACCAGCTGTGTTTATGGACTTACTGAATCGTATTTTTCATCAATACCTAGATCGATTCATTATAGTCTTCATCGACGATATACTTGTATACTCAAAGGATAAGCAACAACATGAAGAGCAATTGAGAGTGGTATTAAATACGCTTCGAAAAGAGAAGTTGTACGCCAAATTCAAAAAATATGAATTCTGGCTAGATCGTATTGACTTTCTTGGTCATGTGGTTACTGCGCAAGGAATTGAGGTAGACCCAGCTAAAGTTGAAGCTGTAACAAATTGGTCTAGACCGATCAATGTAGGCGAAGTTCGTAGTTTCTTGGGTCTAGCTGGCTATTACCGGAGATTAATTGAAGGATTTTCTAAGATAGCTGGACCACTGACACAATTAACTAGAAAGGGAGTAAAGTTTCAATGGTCGGATAAGTGTGAAAGCAGTTTTCAAGAATTGAAGCAAAGATTGGTTTCAGCACCAGTATTAACAATACCAGATGGTTCCGAAGGTTTTGTTATATACAGCGATGCTTCTAAACAAGGTTTGGGATGTGTGTTAATGCAACATGGAAAGGTCATTGCCTATGCCTCTAGACAGTTGAAACCATATGAGCAGACTCATGACTTAGAACTCGCAGTAGTAGTTCACGTACTAAAAATATGTCGTCACTATCTATATGGCGGTAAATGTGAGATATATACCGATCACAAAAGTCTCAAGTACTTCTTTACTCAAAAGGAGCTAAACATGAGACAAAAGAGATGGCTAGAGTTGGTTAAAGACTATGACTGCACCATTCTTTACCACCCAGGTAAAGCTAACGTAGTTGCTGATGCTCTGAGTAGAAAGACAGCTGAAAAGTTGACATTTCCAACTACTCAAAAAGAGTTAGCTAAAGAATTTGAAAATTTGAGGCTAGAGGTGGTTACACCTTCGGTATAGAAGTCAGCCATTGTTGCGGCTCTAATGGTTCAACCAACTCTTAGAGAACGGATTAGAGAAGCTCAAAAGGATGACCCATTTTTGTGTAAAATCATGGCTGGAATTGGGACAGATAAGCAAGAGGGATTTGCGATAACTGATGATAAGATACTTATGTATAAAGGCAGAATATGTGTTCCTAAAGATAAGGGACTAAGGAAAGAAATTCTTGAAAAAGCACACTCTACGGCTTATACAGCACATCCAGGAAGTACAAAAATATATCGAGACCTTTGAAATACGTTTTGGTGGAGAAATATGAAAAGAGAAATAGGACTTTTTGTAAGTAAATGTATCATCTGTCAGCAAGTAAAAGCTGAACATCAGAGACCTTCAGGATTGTTTAGACCACTAGATATACCGGAGTGGAAATGGGAACACATTACCATGGATTTCGTGGTAGGACTTCCGAGATCGGCTAAAGGGAACAACGCTATCTGGGTAATAGTGGATCGTCTTACAAACTCAGCCCATTTTCTTCCAGTTAAGATGACATTTACCATGGAGCAATATGCACAGATTTATGTCAATGAAATAGTCAGGTTACATGAGGTTCCTGTTTCTATTATTTCAGATAGAGACTCGAGATTCACGTCAAAATTTTGGAAAAGCCTACAAAATTCTAGGGGAACAAAACTGAAATTTAGTACTGCATATCACCCACAGACTAATGGACAATCCGAAAGGACAATTCAGATACTTGAAGATATGTTAAGAGCTTGTGTACTAGATCTTGGTGGTAGCTGGGAATCACACTTGCCTTTAGTAGAATTTGCCTATAACAATAGCTTTCAAGCAACTATAGGCATGGCACCTTACGAGGCACTATACGATAGGAAGTGTAGATCACCTATCTACTGGGATGAGATTGGAGAAAGGAGGATTCTTGGACCTGAGATCATAGATCGAACCGTACAGGCCGTGGAAAAGATTCGAGACAAAATTAAGGTTGCTCAAGACAGACAGAAAAGCTATGCCGATAGAAGAAGAAAAGATCTCAAGTTCCAAGTTCGTGACAATGTATTTCTGAAAGTAGCTCCAATGAAGGGAGTACTTAGATTTGGAAAGAAAGGAAAATTGAGACCAAGATTCATTGGACCATTCGATGTGTTAGAAAGAATCGGAGATGTGGCATATAGACTGGCACTGCCACCAGAATTTTCAACAGTGCATAATGTTTTTCACGTATCAATGTTGCGAAAATACTTACAGGATCCTAATCATGTGATCAACCATCAAAATTTAGATGTACAACATGATTTGACCTATGAAGAAATGCCATTGAGGATACTAGAAAGAAAGGTTCATGTACTGAGAAATAGGGATATTCCTTTAATCAAGGTCCTATGGCGTAACCATGGATTGGAAGAAGCAACTTGGGAAAAGGAAGATGAGATGGAAATCAAGTATCCCGAACTTTTTAACTAATCTAAGGTAAATTTCGAGGACGAAATTATTTTAAGGAGGGTAGGTTGTAGAATCCCGAATTTTTAACTTAAATTCGCATATATTTTTATTTGCCATTTAATAGGAATGTAATGTTTGGTTAAGTTCTTATGCAAGTTAATTGATTATCTCTACAGTTATCTTATTAGTTGAGGGACCAAATTGAAAGAAAAAAAAATATCAAATTATTTTATACTTTATTAAATGGGCCAAATAGTTAACTATTGAAGGAGTTAGAGTTACTCTACCAATATTGGGTTCATTTTGAAACTCATAATAAATGGCGAATTATGGACTCAAGAAAAATTTAATTTGGTCAAGTTAAACCCGAGTTTTAGCCGTCTAAAGAATATTATGGTTATAAGAGTTTTAAAGGATTAGATTTTTCGCCAGTTGACTGCCACCACTAGTTTAGCTAAATAAATTAGAATTTTAAGTTTTGGTTAAACAAAGTCTTTATGTTAAGTATTAATAATTATACATTTTTAATTAAGAGGTAATCAATTAAAACGTAATTCCTGCTTACAAATTTAGTTAAATGCAAATCAAAAGAATTTGAATTATTTTATGTTAGATTTTAGTACATGAGTAACCCATGCATTTCATTACAACTTTCACGTGTCCATATAATTAGTAATCATTGTGTCCCCTAATTGGAACAAATTTTGGGAAGATTGGACTGAAATTCTAATTTAATTAATAAGCATACATTTTATAATTTTCGGCCATTAGGAGATTGACAATTTAAGATGTTTGTATTAGATTAAATTATGCAAATAGGAGGCAGATTTGTTTTCCCCGTCCACGTGTAAAAGTCATGCAGTGTAATGCCTAGCATTTCCTTGTTGTAATTGTAATTGATATAGAAATTGGCAGAAAACCATTAATTAATCTCCAGTCATACTATATCAATCGGGAATTATGAATCAATTTTTCATAAGATTGCATGAAATACGAATTTAAATATGGCTGAAATTCCACTTCCCCCACGTGATTACCCGACTTCAACAGTATAAATAGAGCACTAAAATCACATTCTACTACACGTCCATTACCTTTCCCTCTTTAAAATATTCCTCTATATTATTTAGATTTTTTAAAGCTTTGGAATTGCAATCACATTTCGGCAATTTTATTCTCCACTTTCATCTTCAAAAGGTGAGATACTCAGTGCTATTAGTGGTTTTTCCACATCTTTTCAAATACATTATTATGAATTTAATTACTTCAATTCAGGCTCCTTCAAGAGAAATCATGATACATTTTAAGGCACAATTTAGCCTTTAAGTTATTTTGCAGCGCTTGCTAGAATTATTATTTGTCATGGTGTGATAATTCTCATGTTATGTTAGTAAGATAATTTATTTGTAATTTCATGTTTGGCTTGAATGTGGAGTAGCAAGTATCTCATTGAGTATAATTCGTTATACTCATCCCCTTATTTACAATTTTCAGGTAATAATTAGTATGCTGGACGGCGGTGGATGGATTTGCTATTGGACCAACGGATCCTCGTCATAAAGTATTTTAATTTTCAAAAACACTAGAACTAATAATGAGTTATTCATTTTTGACCCAATGTGAGTGCATTA